TTAATTATATGGGAATATTATGGGAGAAGACCAGTTGGCTGCAGTGCTGACTGGCCAAGAGCAAGGGGTGATGAAGCTAAAAGACAAGAGCAGAGAGGAAGAAATGAGGCTAAACTTCAAGAAGAGAAGCAGAATAGAAGAGGGAACAAGCACACTCTGCTTGTCTTGATGAGGAAGGCCAGTGATTTTGTGTCATTAGTGATGGAAGAAGGCTTGGTGCTAAACTAATAGAGGGCTTGGCAAGCCCTTCTTTTGAGATTTCATCTAGGCTTAGGGGGAGCAGTGCTGTTGGCCAAAATTGGTGCAGGATTAGGATCCTCACTGCCATTGAGCCAAAATTCAAGATCCAGTTACTTGTGGTGGCGGGTGGGGGAAAGGTTTGCACTGCCATTGGTGAAATTTTAGGATCTGAATCCCCATTGATGGAGAGGGCAGAACCAAAGCTGCCATAAGACAGTTTAAACTCTCTTTTGTGAAGGGTGCTGCTGAGGGATGCACCTAAGGGATAAAAAGGGAGGGGAAAATATGTGTGGCTGAAAATGATAGAGTTAACTGTGTGGCAAGCACAACTTGTGCCTGTTGACAATGGTCAAGGAGATGGGCTGACTTTCCAGGAAGATCTGTAATGAAAGGAAGATTATTGTCCTGGAAACATGGGTGGGTCGTCATTACCGGTGTATGAGGAGTCTGGGAGGATCACACAAAGGAACCTTGGTTAATGTGCCCCTTGTTTAATAAGAGCTGAGTTCTTGTGGCAGCCGGCCTATTTCCTCTTGAAAGTGCCTGAGGGGATACATGCCTTAAATGAGATACTCTTACTTGATATCAGAAAGATGGGTTCACTCAAGCCTCTGACTTTTCTATACCAAAAGAGTTTGGGGTTCACAAGGTACTACTGTCAGTGGGGGGCTTTGGGGGCAGCATGACCCCTCTCTCTCTCTCTCTCTCTCTCTCTCTCTCTCTCTCTCTCTCTCTTCTACTCTTTTCCTATATCTTCTGCTTTTGATGAGGGAGCAGAGGGCATGTATAGCTTTTGCTTAGGAACAAATGCATTATCAAAAATGTTATCTCACTCGCAAAAATAGGTGATTCAGAAGGATGGGGTGGGGAAAGAGAAACGTGTGGGAGAGAGTCAAGGTGACAAAATGAGGAAGCCCTCTTCTCATCCTCCCTTTACTCTCTTTCTTATGCTAACATCTTTTTCACACACATACACTTGCATGAAAGAGGAGTCAGGAGGACTGGTTCATCACTGTGGAGCAAGATACGGTTCTAGGTGTCTGAGGCTGCGGTCACACGGAACATTAGCCATGCGAGTCAGACGGAAGACATGCGGGTTTTCCGGGCGCGATCCCACCGGCACATCTGGGAAGTGTAGCACTCCCGTGGCTCAAACGAGGCTTCCTGCCGAAACCACGCGGCAAAAAACTAGTACCTCCGAGGTACTAGTTTCCGGAAACCGCGGGGCAAGGGCGGGCGTCTGATCGCGTTTCCGGTGGCATCCGGCGCCCGCCCATGTTCCCTGGCGAAAAAGTTTTTTTTTCTTCAAGTCTTTGTGGATGCGCAAAAGCACACAACGGAGCATGCGCAGTCATGGTGGAAACAAAAAAAAACCCTTCCAGTTTGCCGCACCGCGCACTTCGTTTTTGCGCGCGGGATTGTTCTGCGATCGGCACCTCTCCTTTCCCACGGAACCTCCACAGTACCTCCACGGGAGGTCTGATCAGGTAACCGCGCCTTAGTTTGCCCCGGGGCAAACTGCCACACTTCCCCCCCGCAGTTTCCTGCCCGTGTGACCGGGACCTGAGTTACCATTTCCCTATACTATTAATGGAATTATTTATTTAAAATGATTAGTCTCTCTGCATATAAAATTCCACTTGCCCAGCATTCTGTCACACACTGGTTTGACCAAATAACCAAACCTAGGATGGGGCTGTGTATATAGCAAAAAAGCCCATATATTAATGGATGAGACCACTGGAAGTAGCCAGTGTACTAGAATGGCGACAGGCAAAGTGTTGCACTGGATCTGACACCATCGCAGCAGAGTAAAACCAGCCCTCACCCTCCCCCCTTGGATGGCCAAGCTAGGATCCTGCAATGCATTGCACACACATGTGCACTCTACAGGTTCGTGCAATATTTAGTATACCACCCTCTTGCACACACAACATACTTGACAAATATATACACATGTACATGTTACCTTAATAAGAATGCTCCATTCCACCTTATGCTGTTTTTTGCATACTTTTCTCATAGTGAGTCAACGTTAAAGAATTGGTTACCGTCATCTGTTCAAAGGCAGAAGGAAAGAATTTTTTTTCAAGCTCTGGAATAGGAAGGAAGCTTGTTGGAAATATTTAGATATGAAAAGTGGGGGGGGGCAAGGGAGCAGAGGACAATCATAAAGAATAAAGTCAGGTAGTTGATGGTTCTATTTGTGATTGTGAGTCTTGTGAACAACTTTGTTTTCATTTGGTATGAGAAAGAATATATCCTTTCCCCCCCTTTTCCCAAGGCTCCACCCAGAATCTGCCACTGGTCCCCAATTACTGAACACATATGGAAAGTTCAACTGGGATTTGTAAACTAGTTTTAAGGAATTTGTTTATTCAGCTCAGAGGCTTTTAGTTGGTGTCAGATGCCAAAAGAAAATCTTGTCACTGCCCTGAATTGGATTATAACAGGAATAAAACTGGGGAACAGCACACAAACTCGGTACGAAAGATGTAACAGTACAAGTTTGTATTGTGTTAAATTTTTAATGGGAAAAGGAAGAACTTATAATGGCATTTTCCAAAGGTGGGATCATAGACTGCCAAAATATTTCATCCATCAAAAATTCAAATCACTGCAATCTGAGGGGATGGGGTTTTTTTGTTCCTCTCTAACATCCTTCCTTTAAAAAAAAAAAAAAAAACAAACAGGGGGGGGGGGGGGAGGCAGGGCTTTCGTCAGCCTTTCTGCAGAGGAGTCTAGATGCAAATGCAAAAAGTGTTTGTAGAGAAGGTCTGGTGACAGTGTCAAGGACTGGATCAGTGGGCATAATCCCACACACACTCTGTGTAGTTGTTCTTCATACTGTATTTGTAGAGATTGCTTTGGTTTCTGCTTTCTGATTGACATCTAGGTGTCTTTCAAAATGGTTGTTCTGAATAGATTTTGTTAAGATTGGATTTTACTTAGTTTTAGCCTCTCTCCTATAGAGGGGATAGGTGTGTAGTATAAGTCCAAATAAGTACATAAATCTGCCTTGAAAATAATCCCAGACAAGCTACTAGCCGGCAAGAGTCTTTAGTATAAATAGACCTGTCCATGACTTGTGGCACATTTGGTGACATCAAATGAACTGAATCTCTTTATTTTGCAAATGCTTGCTTGTGTGATGGCCTGGAGGAGATTTCTGACTCACCATAGGCAATCAGTGGCACATTTGTTTACAAGTCTTGAAATAAATAATATTTCTGCAGGGTTGCTATGGCATAAATTTAGAGTGAGGAGGCAATTAGAGAATTCATTTAACTGGGCAGGAATATCTAGAACCTGTAATTTTATATATTGGATGTGGCATTCTAGTATTTCTTTTGCTCTCTGAGCCCCGGATGCATGGAATGCTCCAGCCAGCACTTGTAATTTGCCAGTGCACTGGGAGCATTTCTGTATCTAGCATTCACTCCACTTTTTCCTCCCAGTTGAGAAAATGTGGAGCGAATGCTAGATGCAGAATTGCCCAAAGAGCAGGAGCTGTTAACGGCCATAAATCTATGCAGAAGGTACAGAAATTCTCCTCTGCATTGCAAGCTGCTTTCATTTCCTTTGATCATCGAATTTTATGGTAGCCTCCACACTGCATGCCGCTTTGACTTTCTTGGATTATCGGGTTTTATGGTACCTTCTGTATAGATATATGGCCGTTTTATGGCCATTCCGTGGTGACTTTGCAGTTAGTATGGTGTTGCCCCAAGGTATTTGAATGTGGTTTTGAGCTGCACTTTTTCCTCCCAGTTGAGAAAATGTGGAGCGAATGCTAGATGCAGAATTGCCCAAAGAGCAGGAGCTGTTTGATGCCTATTTCATGAATTACTGGAGGGCTACTGTTTCCTTATGGCTGGATTCTACTTTGCTAACACTAGTGCAATAATAACCAAAGTATTGATACAAATACAAGCATATAAGCATAATCGTCCAATCTTAGAGTAGAAAAGTTTCCTCTTGAGGTGAAGATGGATGAAGAATAGTACACGAAGAATCCGGATAGTAAGAACTCCGTTTTGAAGAACTTCCTCAGTAACTGAAACAATATATCTTCAAATAGGTTATATGCACTCTTGTGAGTTACAGCAAACACATCTCATAAATGGGCAGTTATTGACAGCACATCTCAGGAAAAGCTTAAGGCTTTTATTTATTTATATTTATATTTGAATTTATATCCCGCCCTACATCACACTTCCTTCCATAATTACTGAGGCAGTGCATATAACCTATTTGAAGATATATTGTTTCAGTTACTGAGGAAGTTCTTCAAAACGGAGTTCTTACTATCCGGATTCTTCGTGTACTATTCTTCATCCATCTTCACCTCAAGAGGAAACTTTTCTACTCTAAGATTGGACGATTATGCTTATATGCTTGTATTTGTATCAATACTTTGGTTATTACTGAAAGTGTTTTTCACACAGATTAGTATTCCCTTGTATACCTACACTGTGTGTTCCACTTTGGTGGTTGTTAGTGGATTCCACTTTGCATCAGAATAAGGAAAACTTGCATATCTGGCTGCATCACATTGGAATTAACCATATGTGCAATCATTACTAGTGCACCATGGGATCCAATCATGGGAAAGCCGCAACTAACCTTCTCAGTTAACATATGAATTAAATCTAGAATTTGTGATTCTGCTGAATGCAAGGCAGAGATTAGAAAGATCAGGGCTCTCTTTCCAAAGGCTGTAACTATGCTGTCTTTTTTATTTGCTTGTTTTTAAAAAGATATTGACGAATGTACAGCAGGCACTCATAACTGCCATTCAGATCAGTTATGCCTCAATTTAAGAGGATCATTTGCCTGCCAGTGTCCTCCTGGGTATCAGAAGCGAGGGGACCAGTGTATCGGTGAGTATTATATGGTAAACAAGATATATCATGGCTGACAAGATTAACTTGCAAACCTTTTGACATCAGATCTTTTTATGTTTCTTTATTTGCTTACATTTCAGTTCTTTCTGCCCTTAGGTCTCAGAGCAGGTTACGTATGTTTCCCTAACTGCATTTTTAGAAAGAATGAACAAATTCACGTCTCATATCTGCATCTATAAATTCTCCCTTTTGGTCCCTACTCTAATGCTTTAAACTAGGATCAATAGGTGGAAGTCCTGGACTCATGCTCCCCATGTGGAAGTAGCATGACTAGATGTATTCAGAAGGTGTGGAGAGGGTCCTGACACTCATCTACTGCATTCTTAAAATGGTGCATCCCGAAGCCTAGTTACTGCATGGGACCCATGTCCCAGTGCAGACTTGCACAGGAACATTTTTGGTATTAAGATGAAGGAAGTTGCCCTGGTGCTATGCAAAAGGGCTTGTACCACAGAAACCTAAAGATAGAGCAGCACTGCTGTCTGTGTTCAGTTTGTCATAGGCACTTCAGAGCCACAATTTTGAGTTACGTGTCAATCTGACCTCTCTTTTTTTTAGATCTGTATGTTGCCAGTCATGGACATAAATTTACAGCTCCCCTTTCTGTCCACTTTACTCAGCTGTCCCCTGGGATAGAGAAGATGGCGAGTAAGACAAGCTAGTGATGGGACAGAGAGCACAACAGTAGCCGAAATGGGAAGGGAGGGGCTACCGCTCAGTAGCAGAGAGTCTGCTTGGCATGCAGAAGGTCCCAATTTCAATCCTCAGCATCTCCAATTAAGAGGATCAGGCAGTAAAAGACATGTGCCTGAGACCCTGGAGAGCTGCTGCTGGTCAGAGCAGACAATTCTGACATTGATAGACCAGTGGTCTGATTCAGTATAAGGAAGTTTCATGTATTATGTACCAAGAGAATCTAAGCATACTAGACCCTTTACGGCCCACATTGATTAGAAGTCAGCCTTTAGGCTGTCCCTGTCATTCCCTCCATTGGACTTGCACCTTTGGTTAGGTGGAGCAATTTAAATGTATTTATTGTCACATTTTATCCTGCTGTTCTTCAGAGAAACTCCTTCAATTCATCCTTACAACAATTCTGTGAAGTAGGTTTGACTAGGCTTCCAGGTCACCTGATGAGTTTTATCACAAGCAGGGCTTTGAGCCTGGGCCTCCCCAGACCTACTTCCGTAGTCTAACCGCTGTACCCCACTGCCATTCAGTAAAATAGCATGAAAACAAAAGGATAAACACCCCCTCCCCCAGCACCAGCTCCCTTATCTTCCAAGTACCCATGAGGAGCAGCTAATTTAAAACCAAGGGGGAGATGATGGTTACTGACCTCCTGCATTATTTATAGTTTGACCCTTATTTTCTGATTTTGTGACATGATTACAGGCATAGAGACCCTAACATCTTCAGGCTCCTCCCTGACTTGTTTTTTAATTAATGCTTTTCTTCATGTTGGGGGTGGGTGGGTAATCATTTATTTTGGCACCTTCCAGCAGAAATTTATTACCTGAATTTATGTAATGATAATATGTTTTTCTTTTGTCCTCTTTGTGGTAACCCAGACATAGATGAATGTGTACTCCCTCCATTTTGCCACCAGAGGTGTGTGAACATTCCTGGCTCCTATTACTGCCAGTGTAACAGTGGTTTTCAGTTAACTGCTGACAACCATACTTGTGCAGGTAAGCATTTTTGATAAGTCCGAAATAATCAGCACCTCTGGACAGAAAGGCATATCTAGAGACATTTCCACTGCCTCCAAGTAGCTTTTCACAACAAAAGGTTCTATAAGAAACAAAACATTTGACTAGACATTTATGTATTTATAGAGGAGCTTTAAAAACCTGCACATAATCCAGAAACAGTTGTTTCTTTTCTGGCAGCCCCTGCTCCTAAAAATGCCAAATTAAAAATACAGTTTGAAGTGCAAATTAAAAGCAATTAATAAAAACACTGTGATGCCCCTTCCACTCACACGGAGTGCCTACCACCCTCAGCAACCTCTCTCTCTCAGGTTCAGGGTTATCAGTAGGTCAGGACATCACATGCTACCCTTCTTGTCTCTTTTAAAATATACAGAGAACCATGACCATTTCACACATCAGGTCCACTCTCACACTCCCAAGGATATCCACAGACCACCCTCCTTTAATAATAAGCCCTCGCTCACACAGAGCTGTTGGGTTTCCAATCACTCTCTGCCACCATTTATACATATCCTATATGTATAGACCCAGGTGTTAAAGTGTGTGTGTGTTTTCCCTTAGACACACAGCCCACAGGGTTAATCAAAACAAGAAAACTTTTATTTAGGATAGAAACAAAACACTGGCAACAATAAGGTATAAGTAACAAGGGCTCCAGTCACACAGAGGATTTGCCACGCTAAAGGCATGAATGTCAGGTGGATTTTTGGGGCGTGATCATACCGCAACATCTGGGAAGCGTAGTGCACCCATGGCCAACCTGTGGCATCCTGCCGAATATGCGCAGTAAAAAAGTACCACAGAAAGTGCACTAGTATCTGGAAAACGTAGTGCAGGGGCAGGCGTCTGATCGCAGGAGCACTAGTATCCCGTGGCATCTGGCACCCGTCCACGTCCCATCGCAAACCGGATGTTTTTCGTAAGCGCATGTGCACAAACACGTAACTGAAAGCAGTGCTGCTCCGCGGAACTGCACATGCACACAAACGCGAAACGCTTGCCGCACCGCTTCTTTGCCATGCTCCAGCATGGCCGTATGATCGCCAGTTAACAGCCTAAGCGCGGAGACTCAGGGGACCATGTGATCGGGCTACCAGGCCTCCCCCCTGTGTTATCTGGCCCGTGTGACCGGGGCCAAGGTTTCACTTCCATTGAACTTTTGAACTGAGGTCCTATTCCCACAACAAGGATCCTTTACAAATTTATTATTTTCAGCCTGCTCTAAGCAGCTTTTCTGCACAGTTCTACTCATGCAGAAATCCTCTTTTTTTCTCCTCAGAGAAAACCTCTGCTGCTAACTCCTGGTCATTTTCAACTGCTGTTTTCCCAACCCCCACTAGGGTTGCCAAGTGGCATTTACCTTGCCGGCAGGGGACTCCCGTGTGGATCCCGGTGCGCACGCCGCATGCACGTCACAGGGAAGTGACGTCATGACGCCAGGCACGCTGGGGGTGGGTCCACGACCATACAAGGGAAAACCATAGAGTCAGAAGCAGACTTAAAACAGTGATTCCGCACAGCACTTACTACAGGACTATATTCCCGATACATTTTTTGCAAAGGTATATGTACAGGCAGCAGGCCTTCAAGCCATGCCTACTATATGTATATTTGGGTGTAAGTCCCATTCAATTTAAGCCCTACATGCAACTTCCTCTTCAAATTATTTTCCTTCCCTCTTTGCAGGTGCTTGTTTCTTTGCTTAATTAATTACTGCCTATTAAGTAGCAGTGGCTGAGGCTTCTCTGAATGATCCTTACTCAGTTCTTGTTCTGTTTGCAGCCCAAATGATTTCTTATTACTTTTTTTAAATTTTTATAACTCAGTATGAAACTAAAATAATGAAAAATAAAACAATTAATAAGCAGTTTGTTTGGCTGCAAAGAGAAAAAGCAGTGCCCTCTGCCCATGAACAAGGACTTATTAAGGATCATTCAGGAATTCTGCTGCTAGTGCTTATTAAGTAAGCTGAGAAATAGAAGCAGCCAGGAAAAGGAATGCCAAAAAAGATTTAAAGGGACAGTAGAACATAATCCACATAGGTCAGACTAGCTTTGTAGTTGCATTAGAGCAGGTATGTCCAACAGGTAGATCGCGATCTACCAGTAGATCGCGGTGGGGTTAGAGGTAGATCACCAGCCCCACTTGGTCTCACTAATGAGCAAGAGCGAAGTTTTAAAGATTGCGCAAGATCAGCCTGGATCAAAACTTGACCTACATTTAACACAAATAACTCCGAATAAAACTTAAAGAAAGTTATTGAGACAGTTAAAGAAAGTTATAACTCAATAAAAAATAAAAAATGTTCGCAGTTCTTTCTGGATCTTCGTCTCTCTGTTTTGTTTTTGCTTATTTTGCTTACCAGTAAATGACAGAAGGTGCATTATAAATGGGGAGGGTGGAACCCAACTTTAGTGGGTTAAAATCTAATTTGAAACTTTATTTTCATGGTGGTAGATCACCGGCACTTTTGGCCGGAAAAAATAGATCACTACCTGTTCGAAGTTGGACATGCCTGCATTATAGGTATAAAATACCACTGCAAATCAAGTCTGGGGGAAAAGATGGACAATGCAGAAAACACTGGAATCCATCAAGTTAGCATTAGATGGAGTGAGCTCCCATCTCTAGTTCCAGCTCCTGCCGATCTAGCAGTTCGAAAGCAAGAAATTGCAAGTAGATAAATAGGTACCACTTCGGTGGGAAGGTAACAGCGTTCCATGCACCTTGGTGTTTAGTCATGCCGGCCACATGACCACGGAAACGTCTTCGGACAGCGCTGGCTTTTCGGCTTTGAAACGGAGATGAACACCACAACCCTAGAGTCAGATTCGACTGGCTTTCAAGCAAGGGAACCTTTACATTTTGCCTAATATTACCTTTACCTTTAATATTAGCATTTGGGAAAAATTTAGGTGGGAAAAAACTGTTCCACAAACATATAGCCATACCCAAGGAGTGAAAAGACTCTGGAATAAAGATAGAGAATAGTTGCTCTTCACAGAAAGCAGAACAAGAGGCAACCAGCACAGTCCCAAAGACCACACATGCTTTGCCAGGTGTCTGAGCTAGTGTTGGCTGGCATGAATTATTTGGCATACCTAGAAGAGCTGTCCTGCAGGCACGGACCTGTTTCTGTCCACAAAGTAGTCTGTGTGTCAAGTAAATCCAACTTACTTCCATCTCTTCCTAGGTTTCTTGTCAGGTTTCATATCTGTTTCAAATAGTTTCTCCACAAATCCAATCAGTCTTTTTTTCTCCTTTTCCTGTTCCCATCTTTATACCTTTCTCCTGACTACCCCATAAGCCCCCCCACACACACACACACACACACACTGCATCAGACTAACACACTCTTCTCCTTCAGGTCCCTCCCTAACAAGCCACACCACTTTAATGTAAGAAACACAGGACTATGTGGCAGGAACCCACAGCAGTGTGAACCCAGTTTCCCAAAGTTAACAAGGCATGGGAAGGAACCACAGCATAATCATGTTCCAAGGTTCTCAGATGACCACAGTGGCACAGGAAGGAGTACCAATATAGTGGTTTTGACACTACTGGTATATTGTGAGTACTGGAGATCAATTTCAGTCACATAGTAGTGTGACCAAGAAATGGAACACTGGCTGGGCCTTTGCAAAGGAATGGGTGATGCTTCAGGTAGGAGGGGGCTTGATGCCATTGGTTCCCATTAAGTTCTATAGGATAAGAGTAAATGGACTGTTACTGCAAGTCTGTTGAGGCAGGGCCAAAACTTCCTGAAATGGCATCCAAAGATGACCATGGAGGTCCAATAGGTTCATATGGGAATAGGCAGTCATTAAGGTACACAGCTTCCAAGCTGCATAGGGCTCTAAAGGTCAATACCAGCACATTTAATTGGGCCCAGAAACAAACTGAGAGCCAGTGTGAATGGAGTGATATGGTCCCTGTGACCCACACCGGCCTGATTCTGGTGTGTTCTGGCTGCAGTATTCTGTACCAATTGTAGCTTCTAGACACTCCCTGAGGATAGCCCCACATAGACCTCATGGCAGTAATCTAATCTAGATGTTACCTGGATATGCACCACAGTAGCAAGAGGCTCAGAAAAGGCTGAAGATGGTGAAGGGCATTCCCAGACACCACCTTCTTATCCAGCTGGAGGCCCCTTTATTTTCTCTGAGTGATACAGACAAATCAGACAAGTGACTTGATCAGCTGCAGGTTATCTATGACCACATTTCATTAAATGCCCCCTCCAGCTGATGGAGATTGTGCTAATAATAATTATTAATTATTATAAGTATTAATTTGTTTTCATAGACCAAACCAGGTATAAAAGAGCAAGAGTCCAGTAGCACCTTAAATATGTGGCAGGGGGGGACGTGAGTCACTGCTCACTTCTTCAGACTCACAAAAGCTCATACCCTGCCACATATTTGGTTAGTCTTTAAGGTGCTACTAGACTCTTGCTCTTTTATACTGCTCCAGACAAACTAACACGGCTACCCATCTTGATCCAAGCCAGGTATGCCATCCAAATGTTGAAGGGCGTGTAATTCAGAAAAGAAGTTCAGGGTTAAATCTACATCTGTCAAAAGTGTCTCAGTAGAAGGTAGAAAATAAAAGTTAAACGTGCAAAAACAGGGTTCACTGCAGGGTCACATACCTAAACTTTTGAAATTCCTGCTTGCTTTCATATTGCTATGCCATCCTGTATTCTCTTAAGATGGGAATAAAATGGGAGGGGGAGAAATTTCATTTAGGAAAAACAAATGTGACCATTTTGCGATGTGCTGATGCTCTCGAGCACTGCAAACTGATCTACTAGTCTCTGAGACTTGTGTCATAAATGTAGTGGAATTTTAAAAGAATAGACCTCCAGGGTAATAAATAGCTTCAGATAAATCTTAAACAGTGATGTGCTGAGAAGCCTTATCAGTATGTGTTCCTTGCAGTAATTATTTATAAACCTGGTCCAAAAAAATAAA